AAAAATCGCAAAGCAGATGGGGATGAGGTGGCCAACAGTTACATTTCTGATTGGCTGCCTACATCTGCCAAACTGCAACCCCGCAGGGTCATGGAATGTTCAGGGCGGCTACACTTCTATTTCTGGGAACTGTTTATCAGGGTGGAATTTCCCCACAACAACGGTTCTTTTCCAGGCGTGGTCATAAGTTCAGGTGAGTTCAGGTTCTCACAGCCCAAGCAGGTTCTTCAGTACATTATATGATTCTTTAAAATTCTATATACTATACCTTTAAATAGTGTGGTCTGGCCAGACCTGGTGACCCTGCCTGTAGTCTAAGTGCTCAGAAGGCTGAGACATTCCTGAGACATTCACTCATGAAGATTATGAGTTCAAGGCAAGTCTGATCCACAAAATGAGACCCTGTCCCCCAAAAAAGATGCAGTCTATAGTGCCAAATAAATCATAATCAGATTTAGTAGGGGAGGGGAAAGAACTACAAAATGTCACGAGACTGTTACTGACCACAGTGGGTTTCCGTCTTGGTGAACGGAAGACAAACAAGCATGGTGGAGACAAGCAAGAGTGAGAGAGTTGTGTCAGTGCAGCAGGCAAGGAGAGCACAGTAGCTATTCCCAAAGCAATGGCTCCTCAATAAAGGAAAGGTGGTGATTTTACTCAGGGAGCCACCTACACATACTCATGTCTGAGCATGCTCAGTTGTAAGGTTAAGGAATACATGTCTGAGCACGCTCAGATTTAGGGTCATAATTTTAGAAGGAAAAATAGTAAACACACTTTTTTACATACTTAGTTCAGGGTGGTTTCCGGTTTGAGTGTTTGTTTATTTTGTTTTTAGCAGTCCAAGGAATTGAACCTGGGTCTTCTCACACGCCAGACAGTGCTGTACCACTGAACTAGAATCCCAGCATTATTTTAACTTTTTATATTGAGTCAAAGTCTAAGGTGCACAGACTGGCCTGGAATTCACTTTAATTCTTCTTGAACTTTTTCAATCCTCCTGCCTCAGTCTCTCAAGTAGCTGATATTACAGGTCTGCAACACCAGGCCTGGTGTTCAAGCTGGCTTTAAAGGGTGACAGTGACCAGAAAACCATCACAGTAATTACTCCAAAGTAAACAGCAGTTCAACCTGAAGAGAGGAGCAGTAATGATAACCTCTTTTGTTAGCAGACAAGAAAATCGGCCAATGGCATGAACAAGGAAACAGGATAGAAGCAATTGGTAAATCCTTCTGTTAGTTATTAAAGAACTAGAGCAGTGCTTCTCAACCTTCCTCACGCTTCAACCCTTTAATATAGTTGCTCATGTTGTGGAGATCCACTAACCATAAAAGTATTTCATCTCTACTTCCTAACTAATCTTACTACTGTTTTGAATCACAATGTAAATATTTTTGCAGAGAGAGGTTTGCCAATGGGGTCTCCACAGGTTGAAAACCACTGAACCAGACTGTAGGTGAGGTGGCCTGAGGTCAGAGTCATGTCTCCTGAAGCACCTTCCCAGACCACAAACCAAAAACCAGAAGAAAGGTTAAGGGTGACCTAAAGAGACCAGAGCTGCAGGAAGCTTGACAGACAAGCTGGGAAAAGAACCTGGGTGCCTCAAGTCCGCCCATTGAGACATTTATGAATGAAAACTGTATTCTGCCCAGGATGACTTGAACCTTGGGCATGAAACATACAAACACACACACACACACACACACACACACACACACACAC